AATAAGTCAGCGTGGTATAACAGAATATAAGTCTGCGTGGCGCAAGCAAGGGAATAAGAAGTCCGGCGTGGTATAACAAGGAATAAGAGTCAGCGTGGTAAACAGAATAAGTCAGCGTGGTATAACAGAATAGTGGCGTATGGTATAACAGAATAAGTCAGCGTGGTATAACCAAGAATAAGTCAGCGTGGTATAACAGAATAAGTCAGCGTGGTATAACAGAATAAGTCAGCGTGGTATAACAAGAATAAGTCAGCGTGGTATAACAGAATAAGTCAGCGTGGTATAACAGAATAAGTCAGCGTGGTATAACAGAATAGATCAGCGTGGTATAACAGAATAAGTCCCGGCATAACAGAATAAGTCAGCGTGGTATAACAGAATAAGTTTGCGTGGTATAACAGGAATAAGTCAGCGTGAGGTATAGCAGAATAAGTCCAGCGTGAGTATAACAGAATAAGTCAGCGTGGTATAACAGAATAAGTCAGCGTGGTATAACAGAATAAGTGGCGTGGTATAACAGAATAAGTCTGCGTGGTTTAATAGGAATAAGTCTGCATTGGTATAACAGGGCAAGTCAGCGTGGTATAACCAGAATAAGTCTGCGTGGTTTTAATAGAATAAGTCAGCGTGGTATAACAGAATAAGTCAGCGTGGTATAAGAATAAGTCTCTGCGTGGTTTTAAGCGAATGATGCTTGCGTGGTATGTAGAATAAGTCGGCGTGGTATAACAGGGAATAAGTCTGCGTGGTTTAATAGGGCAAAGTCAGCGTGGTATAACAGAATAAGTCAGCGTGGTATAACAGAATAAGTCTGCGTGGTTTTAATAGAATAAGTCTGCGTGGTATAACAGAATGAAGTCAAGTGGTATAACAGAATAAGTCTGCGTGGTTTTAATAGAATAAGTCTGCGTGGTATAACAGAATAAGTCGGCGTGGTATAACAGAATAAGTCAGCGTGGTATAACAGAATAAGTCTGCGTGGTTTTAATAGAATAAGTCAGCGTGGTATAACAGGAATAAGTCAGCGTGGTATAGCAAGATAAGTCTGCGTGGTTTAATAGAATAAGTCAGCGTGGTATAACAGAATAAGTCAGCGTGGTATAACAGAATAAGTCTGCGTGGTATAACAGAATAAGTCAGCGTGGTATAACAGGGTAAGTCAGCGTGGTATAACAGAATAAGTCAGCGTGGTATGGCAGAATAAGTCAGCGTGGTATAACAGGGCCAAATTGGCGTGGTATAACCAGAATAAGTCAGCGTGGTATAACCAGAATAAGTGGCGTGGTTTTAATAGAATAAGTCAGCGTGGTATAACAGAATAAGTCAGCGTGGTATAACAGAATAAGTCTGCGTGGTTTAATAGAATAAGTCAGCGTGGTATAACAAGAATAAGTCAGCGTGGTATAACAGAATAAGTCTGCGTGGTTTAATAGAGATAAGTCAGCGTGGTATAACAGAATAAGTCAGCGGTATAACAGAATAAGTCTGCGTGGTATAACAGAATAAGTCAGCGTGGTATAACAGAATAAGTCAGTGGTATAACAGAATAAGTCAGCGTGTTATAACAGAATAAGAGTCAGCGTGGTATAACAGAATAAGTCAGCGTGGTATAACAAGAATAAGTCAGCGTGGTATAACAGAATAAGTCTGCGTGGTTTAATAGAATAAGTCAGCGTGGTATAACAGAATAAGTCAGCGTGGTATAACAGAATAAGTCTGCGTGGTTTTAATAGGAATAAGTCAGCGTGGTATAACAGAATAAGTCTGCGTGGTTTTAATAGAATAAGTCAGCGTGGTATAACAGAATAAGTCGGCGTGGTATAACAGAATAAGTCAGCGTGGTTTAATATAGAATAAGTCAGCGTGGTATAACAGAATAAGTCAGCGTGGTATAACAGAATAAGTCTGCGTGGTTTTAATAGAATAAGTCAGCGTGGTATAACAGAATAAGTCAGCGTGGTATAACAGAATAAGTCAGCGTGGTTTTAATAGGAATAAGTCAGCGTGGTATAACAGAATAAGTCGGCGTGGTTATAACAGAATAAGTCTGCGTGGTTTTAATAGAATAAGTCAGCGTGAGCAACGAGCAAGTCTGCGTGGTTTAATAGAATAAGTCAGCGTGGTATAACAGAATAAGTCTGCGTGGTACCGTAAGAATAAGTCAGCGTGGTATAACCAGAATAAGTCAGCGTGGTATAACAGAATAAGTCAGCGTGGTACATAACAGGAATAAGTCAGCGTGGTATAACAGAATAAGTCAGCGTGGTATAACAGAATGAAGTCTGCGTGGTTTAATAGAATAAGTCAGCGTGGTATAACGAATAAGTCAGCGTGGTTTAATAGAATAAGTCAGCGTGGTATAACCAGAATAAGTCAACGTGGTATAACAGAATAAGTCTGCGTGGTTTTAATAAGAATAAGTCAGCGTGGTATAACAGAATAAGTCAGCGTGGTTTAATAGAATAAGTCAGCGTGGTATAACAGAATAAGTCTGCGTGGTATAACAGAGATAAGTCAACGTGGTATAACAGAATAAGTCAGCGTGGTATATAGGAATAAGTCAGCGTGGTATAACAGAATAAGTCAGCGTGGTATAACAGAATAAGTCAGCGTGGTATAACAGAATAAGTCAGCGTGGTATAACAGAATAAGTCAGCGTGGTATAGCAGAATAAGTCAGCGTGGTATAACAGAATAAGTCAGCGTGGTATAGCAGAATAAGTCAGCGTGGTATAACAGAATAAGTCAGCGTGGTATAACCCAGAGGTAAGTCTGCGTGGTATAACAGAATAAGTCAGCGTGGTATAACAGAATAAGTCAGCGTGGTATAACCAGAATAAGTCAGCGTGGTACTTGAGGAATAAGTCAGCGTGGTATAACAGAATAAGTCAGCGTGGTATAACAAGAATAAGTCTGCGTGGTATAACAGAATAAGTCTGCGTGGTTTAATAGAATAAGTCAGCGTGGTATAACAGAATAAGTCAGCACGTGGTATAACAGAATAAGTAAAATGGTATAACAAGAATAAGTCTGCGTGGTATAACCAGAATAAGTCAGCGTGGTACATAACAGGAAAGAAAATAAGTCTGCGTGGTATAACAGAATAAGTCAGCGTGGTATAACAGAATAAGTCTGCGTGGTATAACAGAATAAGTCAGCGTGGTATAACAGAATAAGTCAGCGTGGTATAACAGAATAAGTCAGCGTGGTGATGCTATAACAGAATAAGTCTGCGTGAAATTTATAACAGAATAAGTCTGCGTGGTATAACAGAATAAGTCAGCGTGGTATAACAGAATAAGTCTGCGTGGTTTAATAGAATAAGTCAGCGTGGTACATAACAGAATAAGTCAGCGTGGTATAACAGAATAAGTCTGCGTGGTATAACAGAATAAGTCAGCGTGGTATAACAGAATAAGTCAGCGTGGTATAACAGAATAAGTCTGCGTGGTTTAATAGAATAAGTCTGCGTGGTATACGCTGGGAATAAGTCGGCGTGGTATAACAAGAATAAGTCTGCGTGGTTTTAATAGAATAAGTCAGCGTGGTATAACAGAATAAGTCAGCGTGGTATAACAGAATAAGTCAGCGTGGTTTAATAGAATAAGTCCCGGCGTGGTATAACCAGAATAAGTCAGCGTGGTATAACGGAATAGAGTCTGCGTGGTTTAATAGAATAAGTCAGCGTGGTATAACAGAATAAGTCTGCGTGGTTTAATATAGGAATAATAAGTCAGCGTGGTATAACAGAATAAGTCAGCGTGGTATAACCAGAATAAGTCTGCGTGGTTTAGCAGAATAAATCAGCATGGTTTGATATATTAAGTCAGTGTGGTTTAGGAGAATAAATAAGCGTGGTTTAATAAAATAAGTCAGCGTGGTATAACAGAATAAGTCAGCGTGGTATAACAGAATAAGTCTGCGTGGTTTAATAGAATAAGTCAGCGTGGTATAACAGAATAAGTCAGCGTGGTATAACAGAATAAGTCAGCGTGGTTTAATAGAATAAGTCAGCGTGGTATAACAGAATAAGTCTGCGTGGTTTAATAGAATAAGTCAGCGTGGTATAACAGAATAAGTCAGCGTGGTATAACAGAATAAGTCAGCGTGGTATAACAGAATAAGTCTGCGTGGTTTAATAGAATAAGTCTGCGTGGTATAACAGAATAAGTCTGCGTGGTTTAATAGAATAAGTCAGCGTGGTATAACAGAATAAGTCAGCGTGGTATAACAGAATAAGTCTGCGTGGTATAACAGAATAAGTCAGCGTGGTATAACAGAATAAGTCAGCGTGGTATAACAGAATAAGTCTGCGTGGTATAACAGAATAAGTCTGCGTGGTATAACAGAATAAGTCTGCGTGGTATAACAGAAAAATGTACAATAAGTATATAAGAGTCACTTTACTTACACTTTACTTATGATATAATTATTATGTAGTTTAATAAATCTCAACCAGCAGTTCAGGTCTTCCTCGGTGTTGGAAATAGCAGAAGGAGGAAGGGAGGAAAGGTTTCCAGGGAGGGAGACCAAGGCAGTGAAAGTTACAACACGTTTACACTCGTACGTTCCTGGTGCATTTAAATATTGGCTTACACGTTAAGGTCCGACATAAGACTGAGGAGCCATATAATGGTCTTTCTTATCGACTGTTCAATATATTAATCTAAAACCTTGGGATGAAAATCGGTAATGTGACCTGATGGTTTACCTTATATTAATGTCACCGAATTACCAACTTTTGTCAGGATTTAAATTTGTAGGAATACATATAAGAAGTCTGGTAATGAATGTTTCATAATAATGGAAAACATCAAACAGTATTTTGTTACATCAACTGTTTCTGTCTTAAGTTCAACTCTGACCATCACACACTGGCAACACTAAGCTCCTCCCACACGTTGTTGTATTCGATCGCGTAATGATGATAACGTTCTTGATGATATCTTTCATGGTATGACTGATGCACACACACACACACACACACTATATAATGCGTGAGCGACACAGCGGTTATCAGTGTTGGTAGAGGTCATCATGGCGTTGTTCCACACATTATTCTGTATACTGCTGGTGGTGTTATGCTGTGTATCATTAAATGGTGGCGACGCAGTAGGAGCTGTTAGTGACGCAGCAGCAGATGTTGGTGAAGCAATACGAGTCAATGCAACAGGAAGACATGATGATGACAAAGCAGGTGGTGATGTCGAAACTAACCTACCGTGTCCAGAAGCGGAGTCCATATCACCTTGCTTGTGCACCTCCGACGGCAGCTACACCATGTACATGGACTGTTCCGCAGTGGAGAGTGAGAAGCAACTGGCAAGCATCATGAGCCAAAAATTTCCCTTCCCCGGCTTCTACTCACTCGTTATTAAGAACAATGATAACTTGAAGGTGCTCAGGAGTGGGGCTTTGGGCGTCAACACCTTCCAAGAGTTCCACATTACTGACGGTGCCTTACAGGAGGTGGAGGTGGGCGCTCTCTCGGGCAGCTACTCCACTACTACCATTTTGGATTTTAATAATAACTACATTACCTCCTTCCCTTGGGAGAGAATAAGCTCATTCATAAGTCTTGAAACATTGAGTGCAAGATCTAACTTCATAGCGCTATTTCCGACGTTGGTATCGAACAGCTTAGCCTATCTCGACTTGTCTAACAATCCCATGGGGTCGATGCCAGTCACAGCGTTCATCAACACGCCAGCATTAAAGGAAATATACATCAGAGAAATTGGCATATACAACTTACCCTCAGGTATCACCCAGTACTTCCTCACCCGTTTAACCTTTCCCAACAGAAGATTTTTTTACTGTCCAAAGCATAGTTACAAAAACACAAAATTCTGTTTGATGATGGTTCTTAGGGAGATGAGCAAGAATGTCAACCCTTGTTCAGTATATAACCCTGTATCAGTAGGGATATTTTGTAGAAAATTAGTTAACAACTAATGCAGATAAACATATTTTTCTTAATTTTGTTCCTTTAAAATAATTATTGTGCATTTAAATAGTCCCTTTGTATTGCTTCGACTGAGTTTTGAGAAAAATACGAGTTTTGATGAAAATCATCATATCTACGTATTAATTAGAGAAATTAAGCTTTGACGCTATAATTTATTACTGTGATTCAACAACTAAGGTGTTTAAGCGCATAACAAGGTTTGATTACACTAGTTCTTCAACATTTACGAGAGGTAGAACCCACTGTATAATTAAGCTTTTCCTATAGGATCGTTTTTCACTTGCTCACATCTCTATGTTTATAAACTTTCTGTTAACGTAAATCATGCTGCTTTACTACTTACGGTACTATTGGCAAAACGTTTTTGTTTTTTTGTTTCTGTGTGTGTGTGTGTGTGTCCGCGTGTGCGTGTCCCAAAGTAACACGAGAAAGGGATATGAGGATTAACACCAAACTTGTCAAGTCTGATTAATATAAGACAAGGTCCAAATGACAAACCTTTGTTATAAATCGCGCCTAAACTGACCAAGTGTTGTCATGGTAACGGTTAGCGCAACGATGATACACAAGGATTAAAGAAAAGGAAGACATTAGACAGTCTACAGTAGAGGCTACAGCAATATAAAGTAAAAGCATCACTTGTTCCATATTCTTCCTGCCATGGTGACGGTTTACATCCACTTGGACGATGTTTAATTTTCCATATTTTTAAATTTCAGGAGCACAAAGATTTACATGCACCTACACAATCCTGTTTCAGCTAACTTTATACAGGGTGAGGCGCGAAAATCTGACGGTTTTCATTACGGTGTTGGAGATTGTGGGAACAATCAATAAAAACATTTTAATAAAAACACTCAATCCAATGAATCTTAGATGACCTTCACCGCAATCTATACATTGCCATAATCTTGCCTTGAAGATCTGCATAACTCGCTACGCGATCCTTTCCTGCAATTCCTTGTGTGGTGCGTTCTTGAGTTCCCTGATACAGCAGGGATGGGTAACATACACTTGGGATCTAAGGTAACCCCATAAGAAGTCTGGGGCTGTTAAGTCAGGGGATCTTGCTGGCCAATGAATGTCTCTAAATCTCGAAATTAAATGGCCTGGAAAACTCGTCTTCAGCTTGCCCCCCCCCCGTGTGCTGTAGGCCTGTCTTGTTAGAATCACAATTGCGTCGGGCATCATAAATCGAAGTTCCATACTAAGGAAGTGTCCAGCATGATGCAGTAGCGAATTGAATTCACGGTGACAGTGTGGTTGTTTTCCCTCAAAGAAAAAGGCCCAATAACGCCAAAGGCAGAAACAGCACCTCGCTGATGCACTATGGGTCGTCTTACTCGTGTGTGATTGCTTACCTTCGTTGGCGCTAAAATTAAGAGTACTGCGCTCTCATCATGGACATTTTTCCTCCCAATCATCAAGGGCAAGTCCTATATCGCAGAGAGAACATGATTTATTAGTCCATTTGATTGGTGAGGAAAAGATTTTACAAAATAAAAATACTTGTGGAAAGCCTGCAGGCTGCCTGCTAGTTACAAACACATGGGAAATATGAATTTTCTAAGGTTTCTCCATGTAATTGTCAAATATAACTAATGTGTAGTAATGCATAAAATAATAGGAAATGGCTTTTAAGTGATGATATGCCCTTATTATATTGTCATGGGTTAAAAATTTTGGTTTTCAGAGAAAAGAAATTTATAAACGCCGCAATTTCAATATTTTTCTAGTGAGACGGTCGTATTTATGGCAATTGTTAAAAAAATTATTTATAAGTTAAAGTTAAGTTAAGTTAACCTAACCTTAACCAAACCTAGCATAACTTATCACATGCCGTGGGTGAACTTATTATTACTGAGCCGGGGGAAGCTGCTGTGAAGTCCTGGATATTAGCCAAAATACTGTATCAATATATTTATGCTTAAGTCACATTATCATTAAATAATCAAACTCCATCTTCCAGTGAACTTCGTTTATTATGCACCTAATTCAGCCAAATGGAAGTTTACCAAAACGATATACTGTAATTGGTGATAAAAAATTAGAGCCTGCAGTATTTCCCATATTATATAATGATCAACTGTATCAAAGGTCTCTTTGTATGTAATGTTACCATCCTTGTAGCAATGCCCTCCAAGTGAAATTTGCCTCTACCCATTTCAATATTTCTAGGCATAAACCTCACCCCGTTTAAATTTTCCAGACCGAAACTCACTTATAAAACTGATAAAAAGTTGCATTGAGTAACTTAAATGTAATTACTTTATAAATATATGTTGCAAAAAGTTTTGCGACGATTTTCTTCCAGTGCAATTTGCCTCTATCCATTTTAAAATTTCTAGGCAAGAATCACGCCGGTTTATATTTTCCAGACAGAAAATCACTTATAAAACTGCTAAAAAAATTAATAGATTACCTAAAATGTGCTTACCTAATTAGTACCAGCGTTAGCAAGATGAGATGACTCCAGCAGCTTGCATTTGGCTGGGCCGTAAAACCAATAATGCAAAAAAAAAATATACCTATATATATATATATATATATATATATATATATATATATATATATATATATATATATATATATATATATATATATATATATATATAAATTATCAATACATGTTTCTTTGTACATTAATCGTATTGAGTATAAATATTCAATAAAACAAACAAAATAATTATGAAGAGGGTGACGAAAAGTAGCTACTAGCTACCTCTTCAAATTTCAATAATATTAGTTTGTTTTCCTGCCACCACACTCCACCGTGCGCTGCAGTAAATGGTTCTTCGTATTTAAAAATAACGTTTTCGACACGAGGACCCTCTTCAAGAGAAAATGTTGTTTAATAACACGGACTTTAGTTTTTAAGTAAGTTCTCACAGCAAACACGCGATGCCTCACCGTCCAGTTGTCCATGGCAATTAAACTGCATGCACAAACCTGCTTCAGCGTACGTAAGCCAGTCGTACCAACCTAACCAATCACATATAACAACATTATAAAACTCTCATATTAACCCCTTGTGTACGGGGTAGCCTCTAGAGTCTAGACTGAATAAAATCGTCTGAATAAATAATAAAAGTGGCGTTCCCGTTGTGAAAAAAAAATTGTTTCGAGAGATCGTAGATTGAACTATTAAATCCCATTTAAGATATTTACACCCCCAATTTCAGACGGTAAAATCGCCTTACTTTGTCTTGAACTTTTTCTTATATTAATTTTCATCCGTCTCTATGTCGGCAGTCATTTGAATGATCTTCATAATTCATTGTTCACTGATGTATATTGATGAGAAGAGCTAAATTCGTTTTACTTCACAATTCACACTAAGAAATAAAATAATTTATGGAAATTCACTTTTTGTTCAGATTAAGAGACGCTAAGAGATAATTTTAAACACAATTTCTAGTTGTTTAGACACAAGAGTTTGGTTCATGAAATAGTCTAACGTAAATTTTAGTCTCTTAAACACACATTCACCCACCACACACCTTCACCCACCACACACCTTCACTCACCACACACCTTCACCCACCACACACCTTCACTCACCACACACCTTCACTCACCACACACCTTCCTCACCACACCTTCACCCACCACAGCCACTCACACCTTCACCCTTCCTCACCACACACACCTTCACTCATCTCACCTTCACCACACATACTCATCACACACCTTCCTCACCCCACACCTTCACTCTTACACACTTCACCCCACCACCTTCACCCCTACACCTTCCACCTTCACTCACCCACACTGTCTCATCACCACCTTCACCCACCACACACCCCCTCATCCACACTGTCACTTCCCACACATACCCACCACACACCACCACCCACCACCACACACCTTCCCACTCACTACACCTTACCCACCTTCACTCACCACACACACATCCCATCCCACACCTTCCCCACCACACATACCCACACACCTTCCTCCCCCACCTTACCCCACACACCACTCACTCACACCTTCCCCTTCACCACCCACACCTTCACCACACACACACCCACCACACCTTCACTCACTACACACCTTACCCTTCACTCACCACACCTTCACTCATCACACACCTTCACCCACACAGCCACTCTACACACACCTTCCTCATCACACCTTCACCTACACCTTCCCCACCACACTTCCCACAACACACCTTCACCCACACACACCTTCACCCACACACCACCCTCTCCACATTTCTACCACACACCTTCACCCACCACACACCTTCACCCACCACACACTTCATCACACACACCTTCGCCCTGCACATCCAATCACCACACCTTCACCACACATTCACCCCTGCACACCTTTCCTCACACCTTTACCCACCCTTGTCCACACACCTTCACCCACCACACCTTCACCCACCACACCTTCTCCCACACACACCTTCACCCATCTGCAGCCACCCACAACACACCTTCCTCACCCCTGTCCCTCACCACACCTTCACTCACCACCCCTTCACCCACACACACCTTCACTCACCACACACCTTCACTCACCACACACCTTCACCCACCACACACCTTCACTCACCACACACCTTCACCCCACCATACACCTTCACTCACCACACACCTTCACTCACCACACACCTTCCCCACCACACCTTCACTCACCACACACCTTCACTCACCACACACCCTTCACCCACTACACACCTTCACTCACACCACACACACTTCATCACCACACACCTTCACCCACAACACCTTCACTCTCACCACCACCTTCCTCACCACACACCTTCACTCACCACA